TGCTTCCGCAGACTCCTCGTCCTCGTCGAGCTCGTCGGAATCGTAGGACGCCTCGCGATTCTTAGCGGCGATCTCGCCGGAATCATGACGGACGGCGGCGAGAGGGTGGAGCAAACAGGAAGCGGTGACTCGTTGAATGAGATCGGAGAAGTTGGAGACCTTGTTGGCCATTTCGCCTTTCTTCTTCTCCTTGAAGGCGGCGCCTCTGGAAGAAGAAAATGAACGGTGAGTGAAGACTGAGGAGGAGGAGCTACACAGCAACTCTGACTGATCACAAAAACAGACCCACTTTCAAGTTTCACCTCCCCTTTTCTGAATCACATATATTATTAATTATTCTAATTATGTTTAAGCGTAACAACACGATGGATTAGCGATTCAAACTCACTGTGTCTTTTAGATGGAATATATGTTTAAGGTTCAATTTTTTTAATACAATAAATATAAAGGAAAAAATTTTACATTTTTTACGTGATACTTTAATCACTGAATTATACTTATGGTACGTTATGCCAAGGACAAGTATTCTACAAAATTAGACTTGAAAAACAGAATAGAATTACGGTTAGTAATTGTTTCTTAGTTTTTTTTCCTTTATTAATAAAAAAGATGATAATTATTTGTTATTTTTGTTTTCTAAAATTTCAAAATAAAAATTTTAATTTTTATATGAAATTAAAAATTTTAAAATTAAATGTTCAAAATTTGTATCTTATATTTATTTTTAAATATTTATTATGCACTTTTTATAAGTTAAGAATGATAAAATAGTTTTGGAAATAACTGAAATAGGAGGAGGAAAAAAAAACTTGACTATATGGTTTCAAAGTTTATTAAAAAACGAGAAATATGAACAATTATCAAATGTAAACGAGAAACAAGAATGTTACCAAATAGATATTAAATATATATGTTTTAGTTAGAGTGACAATACATTTTATTTAATTTAGTATCTCCTATTTAAAGATTTTACAATTGTACTCACTCAACTTCGTTGGTGAATCTTGTAAAAAAAAAAAATCGTTAATATTAATGTCAACAAATTTACCTATACATAATATTTAGTGAGTTGCTATAAAATTAGAAGAAAAATAGGCTCCTAAAAGAAATTTTGAAATTCTTACTACACTCTTGGAAATTTAGGGACGGATTGGAAACTTTAATCCCTTGTATAATCTAAATCATCCTTGAGTTTATGCCATGCAAACTTATCACCACACAATTTAAATAAGCAAAAAAATAAGGGAATAATTAAAAGATATTTAAAAACGACTATTAAATTAAATTTTTTTTAAAAATCTGGTTAAACTGAAAAAATTCTAAATATTGGAGATTAAAACATGTATTTAATTAAAGGAAAAAGACAAAAAAAAAATTAAAATATATTTCTCTCTTTTTCTACATTTTCTTTGTTAGTTCAAAAGTCAATTTCTTTAATTTATTTCCATAAAAGATTAAAAAAAATTGTTCTTTTTTCTTTTTATTTCTTGAGATAGTTATTTTTTCTTTTTATTGTCGAGAAACACAACTGATATTTTTCTAAATAATTATAAAACTATCTTCAAAATCTAATTTTTTCAATATCAGTTAGTTTCATAATTTAGATTTAGTCAGAACCTTAATTTTCTCTTACTTCACGTCTTACTTATCCTAAAGAAAAACAATTATATCAATTTATATCATATTTTCTCCTTTACCTTAGTTTTTTTAGTACTGGGAGTGTAGATTGAAATTTAGGTATTATTTCTTCTCCTTTTGTTTTAATAAAATAAAATTATCTCACAGTCAGAAAAATATATATTCACTCTTCAACTCTGTCCAATCTTTTGTTTGTTTTTTGTTTTCTGTTTTTTCTTTAAATAAATTTTAGAAACCCAATCTCAGTGATATATTTGGATTGTGGTACTATATGTCCGACCAAAAAGCCGTGAGTTTGAATCTCTCATCCCACATGTGGTATTAAAACAAAATATTATCTAGGTCTAATGATATTTATTTAATAAAATAAACAAAAACATTTTTTTTAGTACAACATGTGGGAATGAGGATTCGAACTCAACTTTTTAGTCTAAGATAGGTGTTTTTAACTAGTTGAATTATGTTAGGTTAGCCATCTAAAATACGTTTCAGAGCAATTTGGATTCGGGAAGTGTAAAATTGAAAACGATGGCGACAATTTTGACAAATTGTTTATTTCTGTAAAAAAATGAAAAAATTTCGTCTGTACATTTCTCTCCCATAGTAGTAAGTAGAATATGCCTATTAACTCGTTAGCACTCAAATATTATTCTGGAGTTTTAGCAAATTCTGTTATTTTTAAATAAACATGTTAAAAGTCGTACTATTCCATTATTAAATCGTAGGCATTTATAGTCAAGATAATTGCTTTTCAAATAAATAACAAAATAATTAAACAATAAACATACGAAGATGGTGATTAAAATCTGTTTAGTCTTGGCCCGTTCAACTATGCTTAAAATTGATAAATTTTGTAAAACATTATCTTTTACGCATTAAACCATGTAAAAAGGTTGAGATACATAGTTTTTTTTTTATTAATATTTATTTTATTTTTCATTACAAATTCCACAACTAAATAATTTATGTATCTTTATTTCTAAAAGAGTGGCTCATTCAACCATGGGATGACCTAGTTGTCAATAAAGATCAGTGTAAATAGTAAAGAGATTAGAGGGAATAGGTTCAAACCATGGTGGCCACCTACCTAGAATTTGATATCCTAAAAGTTACCTTGTCAACCAAGTATAACAGTAGTCGAGGTGCGCGCAGAAAGAGTCAGCACATTTCTAATCATCACTTTTGTATTTGTAATTGAGATTCTAAAGAAAAACCCTATCGATGATTTGTAAACTTTATACCAAACTAAATATATAACTAAACATCATGGATTGGTCTATTATTCAAAGGAGTGAAGATAAATTCATCTAATTACAAATACATATAATACATGAATATATTAAAAAGAAACACTTAGAATCAGACGATGTATATTAAAAAATTAAAAAACACTTTGAATCATCTAATTTACTCATATAATACATGAATATTACACGTTTTTTTTTGTTGAGAAAATATGAATATTACACGTTAAAATTAAGCAGATCAGACTTCAGAGTGAGAATTTGATAATAATATAAATTCATTTTTATGCAAAAAAAAAATTATATATATATATATATAATAGTGGAATGAAATAGATATGAAAATATAGAAAAAAGAATAGAATTTAAACGAGATGATTGAGAGGGAAATTAAAAAGGGGAATTGGAGTATGAGAGAGAGAGAGGAACCTGCAGCAAGAGTAGTCGGAACGCAGAGAAAATCTGGATTGCTTCAGCTCCAGAGGATCTGATCGCTGGAAAGGAACGGAGAACGGCGATTGCAACTGATCATCTTCAACTTCAAATTCACCGCCCTTCATATTGCTCCTCACAACTCCATTCTTCTTCTTCTTCTTCCTGCAATAATTAATCACCGCCATTTTCCATAACCAAACCGCGCATTACACATATATATCACCGCCATAAATTCAATTCAATTTCCGATCGACAAATTAACTTCCATTCCATGGTCCATCGCTTTCTCACACATCGAAAAATGCTCCTAATTCCTATAAATTGCAAAGCAAAATACGGAACCGAAACTCTTCGATCACCGAATCGAAGATCGAAAGAAAAGACGCGATCGATGCATAAAATTACCTGGAATTGTCAAGACGGTGAGAGCAAAGCAGGAGATTGGGGAACATAATTCGATCTCAGTCGTTTGAAGAATAAGCTGTAGTTTGGAGGGATCGAAGATTTTGAGAGAGGAGAGAGAAACTACAAATATATATATATATATATATATAAATTTAGAGAGAGAGAGAGAAAGAGGGAAGGGAGATGAACGGAGGAATCGGAATTTGAGGGAAGTGTAATTAATTATAAGATGATATTATTATTGATACTCAAAAAATATTGATGATACATAGAGAGAGAATGAATAAGTTTTGCTACAAAGACAAGTGAAAGCTGTTGGATTCATGAAAAAGAGATGTCGTTAATTCTTCTTCCTACTCTACAAGTTATTTATTTTTCCAAAAATTAAAAACAAAAAAAAATCTCTCCTAGTATTGTCATTATATAATCTTTTAACTAATTGAGATATATTGTTACCATGATTTCTTAATTTGTTTTTAATTTAAAATTTTAAAAACTAATCATTTTAGTCATTATTATATTCATTGAAGGTGGTACGTGACTAATCATAATTCTCACCGGTACTATATTTGATTGTAAAAAAATACAAAAGAAATTAATTTTTAAGTAGGTATTAAACTTGTTCCCTCTTTTTTTTTATTCACTTTTGAACGGACGAGTCCAATTTATGATAATTAAGATTTTTTAACTTAATTAAAATGAGTGGAATGTTTATTTGTTAAATTTAAATATTTTTTTAATAATTTTTCAAAAATATCGATCGACAATGACATTTTATCTACATTTTTATATGAAATTTTCATAAAAATTGAAAAATCCACATTGTTTTAATGTTTAATATATATATATTATGTTCACTTGATATCTACCTTTATTTGGAGTCATGTTTATATATTCATATATGTTAAACAATAATTTGTAGGAAAAACAATGGTCAAAGCTAAAATATATATATTTTTACCATTGCTTAGGCTCTGTTTGGTATCTTAAATTTCTAGAGATTTCGAAGTAATGACGGATTCCAAACTGATTTTGGTGGTTTGTTACCTCATTTTGAATGCAATCTTATTTTTACTTAAAAAAAAATTCAGATCAAAATGTCGGATTTTATTGAAAATAAATGACCTATTCAACCTTGTCATATTTTAAATTTTTAATTAATAAATTTAGATTAAAAGTCTAACCGAGTAAAATTTTTATTTTGTTTCATTTCTGACGAACATCCAAATAAAGAAATTTAATTTAATACATTTCAAATCCAAACAAGGTAAATAATTTAAAATTATTTTTTGAATTTTATTGACGAACCGATGTAAAAAAAATATAATTAAATTAAACCATTAAAAGATTAAGGACTAGCGCTACAAATATTTCGTAATTCAATTAGTCGAATAAATTCATCTTCTGCGGAGAGGATATGACAATCTTGCTGACGAAAGAACAAACAAATACCATTATTACTTAAATATATCAAACAAGTCGCACTAGGCAACCCAAGAGACATCTTCTTCTTTTATTAAAAGAAAAATGAAAAATAATTATGAAAATTATTTTATGAAAAAATAACGACAATTAAAATAATCGAGAGTAAATCGAGTCATTAAATATTTTTAAACCTTAAGAAACTTCCTCAATCATAATCACCGCTTAAATGTAATTTTAAAAATTATTTAAATGTATTAAAGACGATAGAAGGTATATTGAATAATAAGAAAAAATTTTAACGGGTAGCAATTCAGATGATTGTATTTATAAATATTTAGAAAAAAATTTAAGAAGCCTATTTGAACTTTTTTACATAATTTCTTTTTAATTCTCATATATCACTTATTTAGTCCTTATTTTTGTGAGTGTTTTTTTTTTCTGCTATATTTACAAATTAAGAATATTGTTGGTACATGCTCAATTAATTGAGCTTGGCTTGCCAATTGCCATATAATTGCTAGCACCTTACAAAATAAAATATCAAGAAGAATTTAAAACGAAAATTGTAAATAAATTTAAAAAATAAAACTGGAAGGGAAAAAAACAATATAATCACTGTGCAAATATAATGATATGCATTAAAAAAATAATATAAATAAATAAATAACGATATTCATATGCATTGCTATTGTATTATTTCGATGTTACTAAACGATGGATAACGCTAAGTACACCATGCAAACAGTTCTATGTTTTTGGCCGAGGTGTTTGGAAATTATACTTTTTTTTTCCATCTTAAAAAAAAAGAACGAAAATTCTATTATTATTATTATTATTAATATTTTTAGAATAAATTGATTTTTTTTTAATTATATACTCTGTTTCATAGCAATGCATATGAGTAGAACAGAAAAATGCCATAAAACCAACTCATCAATTTGGTCCTACTAGATTATCCTTATTGGAAATTCAGGGTTGAATGTGATCAAATATGTGAGTTTCGAAATGATTTTTGAAAAATTAAAAAAAAATGCTTTGATTAAAATTAATTTTCAGAATTTTTGTGTTTGATTAGGCACTGTTTAAGTTTTAAACACTATTTTGGTCATTGTACCCCAATTTTTAGTTCATTTTGATCCTTGTTGTTTGGGGATGAAAATACCTGGACACGTGGAGGACCCCTATTGGTGCTCCAAGATGGCCCATGAGTCATGCCCAGCTCGGATAGCCGAGATGGCTGCCACCAACGCCGGCGAAAGCTAAGTGTGAGGGCCGAGGTGAACCTGGCCAAGGTCCGACCTACCGAGAAGTTCGGTAGGGGCCGATGTGAGCTGCTGTCAGCGACGTGATTACCGGGTGTAACCGATGGTCCCGAGATTACCGGGTGTAACCGTCGCGAGATTGGCGGGACTACCACCCATAAGTAGAGGACCTCACTCCACGATCAGGTACGATGATTTCTGGCCTCGAACTAAACTAAGAATCCGACCTGTACTGACTTGATCGTCGGAGTGCTCACCTTTTTGTGCAGGTCCGCCACAGGTATTCAGATCGGTCCGGGTTCCGAGTTCGAGCTGCAGTAGGAAATATATTGTTGTGCATATCCTTGCATAAACACTTGTATTTTCAAAATATTCGTTTTGGTCATTACACATTTAGAAATTGACCATTTTAATCCATAATTATAAAATTTTAATACAATTTTTATATAAAAAGGGAACTATCTAATACAAATTTATGTCTATGTTTCAAGATATTTTGTTAGTTGAATATTATTTTAAAATTGCCGTCGAAAAAAATTAGATAAAAATGAAAATGAACGAATCAAAATGATAATTTTTCAAAATTAGAAAGACAAAAACAAACGTTTCGAAAATACCTGAGCTATATAATAAACAAAAGTTTGAAAGTACATAAATCAAAATAAACATTTCCAAAATATAAGACTCAAAATGTACTAAAACAAAGGTATAAGGACCAAAATAGTATTTAAACTTATCATTAAACTTCTAAAAATAATACTTAAAACATACTGCTTCTTTGGGGAGTTCACTTAAAATTATTTATTATATCAAAAGTCATCCCAGACTTACTAAGTCAAATATCATAGTCTAAAGTTCCAATTAATATAAATTTAACGTTTAAATATGAATTATTTCAAGACCAATGTATCTATCTATATGGTTGATCAAACATGAGGTCAAATACGTCATTTACTTATTTGATTTACCCAACATTAAAGTTGGAGAGTAGTTAAAGATTTAGTCACCTATAAATTTAAGTATTAGTTATTTCTTTAAATGAGAAGAATAAAAAACATAAAAGTTTTATCTCCATCGTGATTAAAAAAAAAAAAAAAAACCCATCATTTTAGACTCTAACAAAACATTGGGCATATATGCATTAATAAATATAAGTGCTTATTTATTATTTAATGTGATACATTTCCATCCGTATATTATATTAATATCAATGTTTTTGTAAAAGTAACAAGTGCGAGCCAAATTATTTGCAAAAGCAATAAATTTGGCCTAAAGGAAGAAATAGATGTCCTTATGTTTATAACATTATATGTAACTTTTTTTTATATATATATTTGTGAGTGTTTAGACCAGTTTATACGCATATATTGATTAATTTTACAAAACAACTGCTTGTTCCTACTACATTTGGTTGCCAAGATAACTAGTAGGATATTAAATCTGAAGTAGGTGACTATGAAACTTATATTTATAATATTACATTAGTAAAATTTACATATTTGTTAAATACAATATCAATCAATAAAAAAGGGCAACATATTAAAAATTGATTAAACTTTACCTAAGTGAGTAGTAAATAATTTGAACAAATGATATGGTATCAATTTCTTTTAGTTCAACAATTTTGAGTAACCATAAAAAATTTTAAGAGAGTATTATAGTGTCTTATCTCATTGATCAACGTTTAGATGTACTAATTAATAGGAGTTACATTTTTTTATGATGACAATTCTAGATCTATATAAATTATATTTAACAATGATTAAAATTTTATTAATATTTTTAAACAAGTAGAAGTAAACAATATAAAAATAAATCTATGATGTAATAAGAGAGATGAGTAGAGAGAGATGCTATCACGTGCTTTTGTTAGTTATATGATGAAATTTGAGTGTAAGACAACCATAATGGACATAAACAATTGTATATTAATTCATGAATTTTAGAAAAAAAAAAAAACTTTTTCTTTTCAACTTTGAACAATTCTTTGAAGCTGTTCTTCTTTTTTGAATCTAGGCAATGACGGATGCACTAAGAACTCTTCTTACTTTCCTACCTTGCCCCTTTTTGCTTTTCTTTTTATATATGAATGCACTTTTTTTCCCTAAATATAATTCATGTACTTTTAAAATAATAATTTAAATGTGTTAGGTGTAGATTTTTAGTTGGGAAGGTGTCCTCCCAACTGACATGTTCTATTATGATATTACTTGACTTCCACAAATAAAAATGTAAAAAGAATCGAGAAGACGCCATAAAATACCTGGAAGGAAAAAATTGAGCGCCCATGTTGTTCTCCCAGACACCCAACTCACGTACTTAAGTCAACTAAAATATGTGTGCAGTAGAGTTTTGAGCAGGGGAGAATTCGAATAGTTGATCTCAAGCTTTTTATTGTAAAAATAGAGTAAAAACTATTTCATTGTGGTTG